TAATCTATGACCACTAAAACTCAGCCCCCAGTGCCCCAATCTCCCTCTTAATCCCTCTCCCAGTGCTTTCCAGTCCCTCCCAGTGACCCCAGTGCCCTTCCCAGTGCCTTCAATCACCCTCCCAGTGCTCCCAGTGCCCTGAATCACCCTCCCAGTGCCCCTAATCACCGTCTCAGTGCTCCTAGTGCCTCTCCCGGTGCTCCCAGTCATCCTCCCAGTGCTCCCAATCACCCTCCCAGTGCTCCCAGTACCTGAGCAGGGGGTACTGGCGGGGTCCCCTGCGGTGCACATACGCCGCCAGCCACCACTGCACCGTCATGTTCCAGCGCCGCAGCCCCCCCCGGAAACGGCGCCCGACCTCCGTGCCCCAGGGATCCACCGTGCGGATGGACTCGAAATCCCACTGCTCTGGGGGCAGGTCAGCACACCTGGCACAGGTGAGACATAGGGACACGCAGGTGACACCTTCAGGTGACACCCAGGTGATGCAGGAACCCCCCACTCTGTGCCCCATGGGGTGGGCGGACTCGAAATCCCACTGGTCTAAGGAGCGATCAGCACACCTGGCACAGGTGAGACACAGGTGGCATACAGTCCCCGGCGTCCCTGTGCTCACTCACCTCTTGGGGCGCTCCCAGGCCACCGTGGGCCCCTGTCCCGGTTTGGCCCGGGCCGTTTTGGGGTACGCCCCCAGCCCCGCGGCCACGCAGCCGCCCTCGGCGCAGAGCCAGCCCACGTAGAGGCGCAGGCGCAGGGCCAGGAACACGGGCACCATGTGTGCCAGCCGGGCCAGCCACGGCCGGGCCAGGAACTCGGGCTGCAGCACGGCCTGCGCCGGCCACGCCTGGCCCACCAGTACTCCCAGTACGCCCAGTATGGGAGCCCAGCGCACGTGGGACAGCACCCGAGACAGGGCGGGGGGCGCGGGGGGGCCCCACACCCAGTCCAGGTAGGTGCCCAGGCGGTAGAAGGGACCTGGGGAGAGACGGGGGGGGAGAGGTGAAACATGGGGGGGGATAGACGTGGAGGGGGCACAGGTGAGTTATGGGGGGAACACAGGTGAGATATGCACACGTGTGAGACATGGGGGCACAGGTGAGACATG